TTCTTTCCTTCTAGACAAAACGAACAAAGTCGCAAGTCCCTAGCTACAGCCCCATGGAGCACATGTCTCTGTACCGGCAACCTTTCACAGCCATCAGATCTCCACCGAGCTCAGAGGAGAATGTCGCTGCTTTGTCACATGTAGGGTTTTTTTCATGTGTCTTTGTCACATTTATGTTTCCTCTGTGTCTTTGACACACATGTATATTTTCTTACAGACTTTAATATATTATGTCACATGTATGTTTTCTCACTGTCTGTCACATTTTGTCACAGGTATGTTTTCTCACTGTCTTTGACACATTTTGTCACAGGTATGTTTTCTCACTGTCTTTGACACATTTTGTCACTTGTATGTTTTCTCACTGTCTTTGACACATTTTGTCACAGGTATGTTTTCTCACTGTCTGTGTCACATGTATGTTTTCTCACTGTCTTTGACACATATTTCTCACTGTTTTTGTCTCATGTATATATTTTTCACGTATGTTTTCTCCCTGCTTCTGTCTCTTGTATGTTTTCTCTCTCACTGCTTTTGTCTCATGATTGTTTTTTCACTGTCTTTGACACATTTTGTCACATGTATATTTTCTCACTGATTTTGTCACATTTTGTCACATGTATATTTTCTCACTGTTTTTGTCACATTTTGTCACATGTATATTTTCTCACTGATTTTGTCACATTTTGTCACATGTATATTTTCTCACTGATTTTGTCACATGTATATTTTCTCACTGTTTTTGTCACATGTATATTTTCTCACTCATTTTGTCACATTTTGTCACATGTATATTTTCTCACTCACGGTGCTGAGAGCCAGTTACATAATGACAGTGTGATAGCTGCTGCTGAGCAACTCTCATGATAGTCTTTATATTATGTTATAAGAATAATACATCAGATTTATATGGCTTGTGGGTGGTTGGTGGGTGCTCTAGTGTGGTTTACTCCTTCTTTCCTATCAAACATCTATCGTCCTTATCTCCCTTTCTTCTTTTTTATGTATGTTACTCTCTTGTAACACCTCTAATCTTCTGGCGCTCATATGACCACCTTATGCAGTTGCGAGTGCCGTAAAAACCTCTACTTTAAAAAAAAGAGAAAAAAAGTCTTTATGTTATAATAATAATACACCAGATTTACATGGCTTGGGTGGTGGTGGTAGCTTTGCACTTAGGCTACCGGATTCATAATTCTGAGATTGCGGGTTCAGGGGTTCGAGCCTCAGATCGGTCCGACATTGTGTCCTTGGGCAGGGCACTTTATATGAATTTCCCACTTGGCTCAGTTCTTTTGGAGATGGAGGTGAAACTT